TGGAGGCTTTGCCGAAATCACAAGGTTTTCGACAACATTTCGCTTCCTTGCCATAGGTGTTGTGATACCAACACCAGTCAGGATTTTTGAGAGAGCGTGTGTTGGATTTAGATCGTCCACGTGCGCTTTGCCGTTGAGGGGATTTAGAACGACGATAGGAGGAATTGCTAGGCTTGTTTGACCTAAGCATCTGCTGGACGGAGTTGATTAACTCTATCATTGCAGAATCCTTCTTCGAAGTCTGTTCGGTAACAGAGTATACTTCGGTAACTGGCCGTTTCGTTATCTCTAGAATTCTATCTGCAGAGACAGCTAAATCATCTATGAGAACACCCTGAAGTGTCACAAGTACAGTCTGAACTGACTGTGGCAGTTTGGATAAAAATAGTTCTCTAAACAGTCCTTCATCGAACTGACTTTGGCCAATGATCTCTTTCATTCTTGCCAGCATGCTCACGGCTGACTGATCTCCTAACTCGATGTTACGAAATAACTCATCCAGACGTTGTCGATCTGTGAGAACGTTTCTCTTGAGGATGGATGTTTTGAGCAACTCGTACGAGTTACTTACCGACATCTGCAGAGTTACGCACCTGCTGAATTCCCGCGGTAGGGCGTGAATAACTGCAAGGAACTGTGAACGTTGATCAGTTATGCCATGTTCACAAAAATCAGACTCAGCAATCTGAAACCACGTTTCAGCATTATCTGGCCAAAATGGTACTAGCTGAATTGTTTTGGCGGTTGGGCGAATCTGAATAACCTTGGGGCTAGGATCACTCATGACGAAAAGTATGCCGATAACAATATAGTACAGGAATAAACACAAAAAGGAACGAACTCACCGGGTTTATCTGCGTGTGAAGATGTAGTTCGTGGTTGGGCTCACCAGTTTAGTGGTTGACGGGCTCACCAGTTTAGGTGATTGATGGTATCGAACGTTCGCGAGTTGTACGGATTATACTAACGCAAGATCTTATACCAACAACCACTATAGTGTTCGTTCTTCGAGTACCAAATGGTAAAGCAAAAGACCAGATTTTGTCGTCCAAATACGATATATATTTTGGGACCAAATCGCGGATAGAGGTGAATGCTTAGCTAGCTAGTAATCGTGCACGCACGTGACACGACGGAGCACCAAATGGCGGGGATGCTTGACCGTAAGCCTTCAGCTAAACAAGTCGACTTAAACAGTGATGGTCAGCATCCAATGTTGAGTGATGATTGCTGTGGTTAATAATTTTGGGGAATTATTTATCGCTACAGTCTTTTCGTCAGGATTTGCTCCAATAGGGATTTTACCTCACTGTTGCTTACTATATGGCCCAACAGCATTAAACTCCATTTGTCTCTCAGGGATTTTGTTTCCTTGATACGCATTTCAAACGCCTCAATATGTTATAACATGGCTTCGATGTGGTTCACAGGAACGCTTTCGTTTTGACTGTAGATGATGAGATCGTCACCATATACCTCCAAATTCTTCGAGTTTCTAAGTAACAACGTCACCAGTCGTCTGAATATGGTGAACGGTGCTAGTCCAAATATCATGCGTTTAAACCGAAATTGTTTCCGGCCCACGATGAATGCCGTCATATCCCTGTCACTCTGTATTATCGGCATCTGCAGACATCCTGGCCGGTGATCGGGCACTGTACACAAGTTCGCTCATTGTGGGCGATTCAAGGTCTTAACTACAGTCGGCATTGCACACGGTCTCAGCTCTGTCATGCTGTCTAGCTGTAGGTAATCGACTCACAACCTATACTACCTATTTACTTTTTCACCGAGAGGACCGGGCGGTCATACGAGCTGTCAGTTTCCTCAGTAATCTCATCTTGCAACACCTCCTTCACTTGTCGCTTAACTTCGCCCCGCAAATGAAATTAGACCACTGGCGTTGTTAATGGTGCCATTTTGCGATCGTTCAGTGGGATCTCATGCCTCAACCTATCACAATAAACGTGAGGAATCCTATCTTCGGTGAACAGATGATCGTATTCTTCATCTAGCACTGTCACATTCTGTGTTTTCGGCACCTTTACTACTGCTGCCTCGCTTGTCTCTTACATGCTGACAGGTCCGTACTTCGTGACCACTGCCCTCTTCTTAGTGTTAATTACCACACCAACCTCTCTCAGAAAACCAACACGACGTGTTGTTCGCCACAATTTGGGCACAACAATGAACGGGGACACTACTTTACGATCTCCAATAAGAAGGCCACAGTTTGATATGTCCGTGATTCGTAACACGTGTCCACCTGCCGTTTGATCTGCCAATGAAAATGGTCTGGCGCTTTGACATGGATTCCGATCTATTAGTGATACTACCGCCTCTGTATCTATTGAACATACCTATTCTTGGCCATTCACTCACAACTTGATACACATGGCCCTCTCCTCGATCGTCTTCACTACTTCTAGTATTGTGGGAGAGAAAGGACATCCGCAGTACCATCTGAATTTTTCCTCTCTGCCTTTCTGAGCAGTACCTCCTCAAGTGTCCTCCTTTGCAGCATTAGAAGCACCGACTTTCCCTGGCACTCATTTGTGGCGCCCCTATTTCACGCTACAAATCCTCAATTTTCTATTCCCATCCGTCCGATTTTGATGACACTATTGCGGCTACCGTTGCACTCAACAGCTGTCTGGTCACCTTCCTTAGCCCACCAATGTCCATGAGTTGTGAAGCGTTAACTGGTTGTGGTTGCTGAGAGATGTGGTCTGGGACACTCTCTATGAACTGTGACATCAATAACTACAACTCCAACTCTCCATCCAGATTGCGTAACATTGAAAACTGATCAGCTGAAGCGCCAAAACTAGTGGGTCTCCACCCGGCCACAGCTTCGTGACATGGGACTGCTGCATTGCCAGCTGCCTGTCCGTTGGGCTATTGAACTCTCCCACCGGCCATTCAACCAACACCTTTCGGGCCTCTTTCTCTCCTGACCAATGCACACTGTTGTATTCTGCCTCTTCTCGACTTCTCAGCTGTGTCCTAAGCACAACCACCTTCTCCGTCGGATCCTTGATGCTTGCCAACTCAGAGACATCATCGAAGTCCCACAAAAAGCTCCTGATGTATCACTGCCTGAAAGCAGCTGGCCACGGAATCTTAGGTGTCTGGAGGCAGTAACACAAGACTTGACGGTAGGAGACAGGAGACTTGTTAACGGAATGTTTATTTGGAATTTGATACCCCAATGTAGAGAAATGGTGTACACTTTGTACGAAAATCGTCATTCTCACAGACCTCCTGTGTTTTGTTACTTCTGCTCCTCACACTGTGTTTCTCTATCTTTTTTTCGTGTCTCCCATGTTTTCCCTCAACACTGGTTCTATTTCTCCACTATTTGATATTCTTTGGCCAGTGAATGTTTCTTCATATACTACTGAGGAATCTTTTCAGTAGGGGACACCAGACGTTAATGGTTTTTTATTCGTATTAGGCTTATGACTTTTAGTCTCGTTTTGACATCGTATTTGTGCCACGATTTTATATATGGCTACTGGAGTAAATGTTTACGATAGAAGCGGTGGTTGGAAATTTTGTGATAACGAATTGCGTATTCAGGCGATTTACCATATCATTGGGTACTCGTTAGGTAGATTTGAATGGGTTTAAATTAACTTATTAACTTTATAATATGCGTTATAACATCTAAAAGGAATGTTAGTTTGATAATTTAGAGAATGTGAGCGTTAATGCTCACAGATAGTCTGATGTATACCGACACAAGATCTTACACCCAAAAAAGTCCTATGGTATTCGTTCCGCCTAGAGCAAAGACAAAGCAAAACATCAAATTGATCGTGGTGCGAAAATGATTGCTCAAACTGCCTAGGGATTGTGCACTAACAGCTGAACGTAACAGGATGGCGTGCCACATACCGTGGATGCTCGATCGTGAGGTTTCAGATGAACAAGTCAACTTAAACAGTGGAGGTCAGCATCCAGTATTAAGTGATGAATGGTATGGCTAATAATTCTGGGCAACTGTATAAGCGGAACATGTAACTTAAGTGGTTCACTGATGAATGACATAGGGTGTACCCTACCTGATATGAGGTGTGTAGCTTCATGAAAATGCTTTCTGTGACAAGTCGAGTCTCTGAAGTACAGAGAAGCACTGCCTTGACATCAGATCTTGTCCCTCAACCTCATTGTAGCAGTTTCCTCCACAGTGATTTCGAATTACTGAATGCCTATCTTGATTTACCTATCATGGATGGTTCTGACAACTGCATACATGCCACTTGTATTTGAAACGATGCTCCTCCTAGGCAAGTGAAAGACGTCACGTCCCTCAAATTGCTTCTTCTCATAGTGACTAGTGCTCTTTGTTGTTGTGGCTGGTTGCTGAATATTTTCATCACTTGTGTCTCCTCTTTATATCCACTTGATGGCGTGTCTTCCCTGACATCCTCTTTTCTGCCAATCATTCGGTTTTCACTTGTAGGTTGTCAACTTTGTGTCACATCAGACATAAATCAGATGTAAAGGCGAACAGTAAATCTTTGAAACTAAATTGTGATGTTTATATTTCTCCGACTGGTTACACACTCACACATATCTATATATATATTCATACCTTTAGGAATATTATACCTCTTCACTTTGTTTTAAATTTCGAAATGCGTTTCTGAAGTAAAACACACTGCAGTAATTACTCCTAAATTTCAGATGCACTTGTCTAAGTTATAGTTAATAAAAGCATATAAAAGCAGGTGAGTCAGTCATTGAGAAACACAGAAAACTTGGAAAAGAGAAAAATCATCAGAAGTAATCTTGAAAAATACAAAATAAATATATTGCTCATGTTTATCAGATCTTTTGGTAAGAGGATATAAATTGTGAATACATTTCAGATTGAGGAAAATTCCTTGGAAAGTTCATTGTTCAGACGCACGCACGTACACAGACATCTGAAAGAGGAGTGAGTGACTATTTATCATTTATTATACATGTATCTCAGGTATGTATCTGATTGTTCAATCACTATTGGCAACCCATAGTATAATAGCACTGAGTAAGCATAAGAAGGTGACCCAGAGAGCAGCTAATAACCATCCCAAATATCCCGGATTTTTGTCATATACAACCAGTGCGATGATGTAGCATGGGACTAGAGTGAAGAAGAAGAAGAAAACATATTATACTTAACAGGAGAAATTCTTATATAAATATACGTATATATATATATATATATCCAAGTATTGGTGTTTAGGGATTTGATTGATTGATTACAGGATTTTCATCATGAGCTGACATCGGTTGATTAGAGAACCATTGTAAAACTTGCAGGAAGTACTGTACAGCCATTTCGTTCTAGTTTGTGACTCTTCAGCAGTACGCCACGGTTTGAACACAGGATCTTCTTGTTACAAGGTGAGCTCGTAGACCATGAAGCCACTGAGACCTGATGCAATGGCCAGTCAGCCCATAGATTCTAACTTCTGCCAAATCACGAAATAGCGCAACTGGTAGCCAATGTCTTCGGCGAGTATTCGTCCTCACACCCGACCTGCTGCACCCTACTGGTGACGACTTCCCCGCTGGAACCCCAGGTAACTACCTACCTAAGTAGGGCCAGTCGCCAAAGAGCATCTCATCGACATTAAAGTGTTAGTTTGTACGGATTTGATTGATTGGTTACAGGATTTCATCATGAGCTGAAATTGATTGGTTAGAGAACCAGTGGAAAACCAGCCACAGGGAGTAATGGATAGCTGTTTCCTCCATCCCAGTTTGAGACTATTCATTGGTACACACACACCGAGGTTCGAGTCCAGGACCTTCTGGTTACAAGGCGAGCTAGCTGGTACAACATGAAGCCACTGAGACTCGATCCAATGGCCAGCCAGTGCATGAATTCTAACTTATGCCAATTCATGACATTGCTTTTGTACAAGCGTACCACCAAAACTTCTTCCACCCCATCAACGAGGCATTTTCATTTCAAGCTAGTTGTAGATTTAAACAAGAATCACCTTTGAATCGCTTTAACATCAGTCAACTCTGCTGTTAGTCATGTTAACTGTGTACCTGTAAGTCGTGAATGACATGAACACTGAGTGACCTTTCAACATTGCTGCTTCAAGTAAGTGATTTCTTTGCTTCAAAAAAATTGAATTTAACTTATGGAAATTCTTCTATAGGTATATCTGTAACAGCAGAAGACAAGGGCCAGGCAACAGATCATTTATTGAGGAAATTAACACATATTTTTATAGATTTTCATGTACATTATTATGGATTAATTTAAGTAAACAAATATAGTCTTCTGATTGGTGGTTTTTGCTCACTGAAAGTTAATCTTTCATCTCTTTGTGACTGTTTCTTGAATGTCAAATCATCTCTCTGATAATTGCATCCACCTACGCAAAGTTTGCTGTGATTGATTGTTGAGTCAGTCTTTGTTCTTGTCTTCACATTACCAGTATTTCGGATATAAACATTGACGTAAATTACTGTCTACCAATTTGGCTAGGAGACATCTCTCACCACACATTTACATTACCTTGTTGTCATTCACAGTGATTTATTAGTGAAGCGAAATCATTAAATTTTAGGTGCTTTAGAAAGACAGGGTCACCACACTCTGATAATTATTACTTCCTTTAGTTCCTAGAGGAACACAGGGCTTCAGCCGCACGCCTCCAATGCGTTCGGTATTCTGACAGCATTTTCACCTGGCTCTACGTTCGCGCACATGCTTTCATCTCCTCTTCACACCACCATATTCTCCTCCATGTCATCCTCGTACTGACGACCAACTCGCCGCTTCCCGTTCAAGTTCCCCTCGAGCGATGGCCTGGTGTGTGATGTCACTTAATGGTTTGTTGTCTCAGAGTATGGCCACTCCAATGCAATCCAATCTAACTCCATATCTTCCTGTATATTCATTGCACATTTGGTTCCTGCTGGGTTGGTTCGCTCATTGCCAGAGATCCCTCACTATTGCTGCTCTTTCCTGGTCGGCCGGCCGGCCATCTGATCTTGAGTATTGAGCGAAGACAACTGTTAAGGAAGGTCTATAGTTTGTTTGAGGTGTTCTTTATGACGCGCCAAGTCTCTGATCCGTATAGTAGCACTGGCTTCACATTGGAGTTGAGAATCCGGATCTTATCTTTGATGCTGATTAGTGCCGTTGACCTCCACATGGGCTTGAGAGTAGTGAAAGCTTGTCTTGCTTTTCCGATGATCCTTGCTTTGATATCCTCGTCAGTTCCGCCTGTAGTTGAAACGATGCTTCCCCGGTATGCAGGTAAAAGAGGTTGTTTCTTTCAGGTTCCTTCCATTTATGCTGATTGTTGTCTGTTGTTGTTGTTAGTGTTGTTGTTTCCCAGGAATCTTTATCACCTTTGTTTTCTCTATGTTCACCTGAAGTCCTATCTTTGATGCTTTATCTGCCAGCCTGTTACTTTTCACAAGCATATCTTCCAGTTTTGTGGGAAATCAGACATATATCATCTGTGAAGTCCAGATCCTCCAAGTTCTTTTTTCGTGTGGGTCCATTTTATGCCTGTTTCCTCGTCGCCTGGCCAGCTGTCTGTCGCATAATCCTGTCTACTGCAATCAGGAAAACCACTTCAAAGGATTCCGTGAGTTTCCCGTTGTGGATTACTCGGAATGCATCACTGTCGTACAACTGTTGGATGGCTGAGATGTAAAATTGTTGACGACATGCTTTGGTAGCAGCGGAGTAGTTGCTAAAACACCCCTCAATTGACATTGTCTGTCAAAGGCCTTATGAAAGTCAATGAAGTTGAGATAGATAGCTGACTGCCATTCTAAGCGTTGCGATTTGATCGATGCATTACTTGTTCCTCCTGAATCCAGCCTGTTCTGGCCGAAGTTTTCTATCCAGGTCGGCAAGTTTGATTCTCTCCAGAATGATGCAGCTTAGTATTTTGCTTCGGGTGGACAGGAGCATAATTCCACGCCAGTTCTTGCATTGACCTAAGTCCCCTTACTTTTGGATAAGTAGCCCATCTTCCAATCCTCAGGTACCTTGCCCTCTTCCCACACCTTCTCCAGTAGTGGTGTCATCAAGTCGGCTGATGTCTCTGGGTCGATTTTCAGTGCCTCTGCTGGGATTCCGTATGGTCCTGCTGCTTTTCCAGTTGTTAGCAGCTTGACTGCGTTCAGGATTTCTGTTCTCGTCGGAGAGTTGGTATCAACTGGCAGTTGTGCTTCCGTTTTTGGTATTTTTGGGCGCGTTGTAGGTGGCGGTCGATTTAGAAGTCTCTGAAGTGTTCAGCCAGGCGTTTTTTATGCTCCACCTGTTCGCTAATTGACTCTGCATTGTCACCATTCACTCGCTTAATTTGTGTTGAACATTCCCCCGAAAGGAACCTAGTTGTTTGGTAGAGTGTTGCGACGTCTCCTTTGCCTGAACTGCAGCTTGTTCTGCTTCACTTGTCATGGCTTCATAATATTTTCTTTTGCCTTCCCTGAGACTCTTCTTCACTCTTTTCTTCAGTGTATCGTACCTTGTATTCAACTCCTGTTTTCATTGCTCGTCGATCCACTGGATAATCTTTTGTTTCATCATTCTTCTTTCTACTATTAGTCTTCATGTGTGCGCAGTGAGCAACAGTTTTTCCTATCTCTTCTCTCTGCCTAGAACTTCACTGCAAGTTTGACTCCATACCACTTTCAGGCTGTTCCAGTGGTTTCAACGCTGATCTCTCGGCTAGTGTTGATTTGTGTCTCCCCCTGTTTCCGTTGATTTTGAGTGTTCGTTGTACGAGGTAGTGGTCTGAGCCAATGTCTGCTCCTCTTCTTACTTTGGTGTCCAATAAGGTGCGTCTCCACTTCCTTGAGCAATATTGAGATGAAGTCAATTCGGCATTTGGTTCGCCAGTCCGGTGACACCCATGTAGCATTGTGGATATACTTGTGCTTGTATACGATGCCACCAATCACTGGTTCATTGAAGGCGCAGAAGTCAGCAAAGAGTTCTCCATTTTCATTCATTTCTCCGAGAGCTTCTCTACCCATGGTGAGTTCTCTTCCTGTGTTGTCTGGTCCCAGTTTGGCGTTCATGTCTCCCATTAGTATTTTAATGTCAACAACTGGAGTATTGTCCATTGTTGCCTGTAGTTGTCTGTAGAACTCTTATTTGTTTTCGAGATCTGCGTTGTTTGTGGGTGTATAGCATTGTATAACTGACACTTTCCTTCCTTTTGAGTTCAATCTGGCAATCAACATCCTGTGCGAGATCGCCTGCCATTGCATCAGGGCCTGCGTTTCCGTTGGTGACGCCATGTGGTTGTCTTTTGGGTGACTGGAGTAGATCATCGACTCTCCACTTGACAGTTTGGTGATTCCACTCCTATTCCATCTGCTTTCACATATTCCCTGTACTTAAATTACGTGTCTTTTCATCTTGTTTGCAATTTGGGCAGCTTTGCCAGTCTCATACATGGTTCGGACGTTCCATGTCCCAACATAGACTTTTTCTTTTGTCTCAAGGAGACTCATCGTGCTGAAGATTCTGTAGAAACTTTTTTTACAGGGTGGGGTTCCTAGCCTCACGGCTGAGAAGGGGGTTGTTACATTAATATGTATAGTTTACAGAGGAGCGACTTTTTGAGTGGCTCTGACTTTCTGATGAACTAGAATTATGTTTCCACGGAAAGGTTCGCTGAATTAATTGGTGCAAAAAGAGATATTGGAAAATCTATCAGCGTAAGCGCGTCAAATCCCAGTGCTAATGGACAATATCCACTGACAAGGAGTTAAGTCTTTCAAGAGCCACCACTTTCTCATTTCAGTGGGATGTCAGCAGTGGCAATAAAGCATGCTGGTTCACGACTGACTAGTAATACCTGTAACTCAACTTCTACAGACGGGCTATATGTACCCAATCTTACCACATTAATGACACACAGAAGTTTGAAAACGATGAGTACTCCTCTACTGAGGCTTTCCATTTATAAAAATCACACTATTTGGCGTTACTGGCGCTTTTTCAGAATCTAGTATAAGTGGAGGAGATTTTAAATTTCTGATTACGAGCACCTGCGTTATGAACCTTAGATATCATTATATGGGACATAAATCTTTAGCAATCTGAATGGCTCATGAGGAAATTTAGTCCCACAACTTCTCCAGCTT